GCTCAGGCTGCCCTCCCCGGCACCCAGCTCCCTGCAGCCTGTCCCATCACAGTTCCCTGCCCTGGCACCCAGAGCCAGCACACTGCCCCAGCGTCCTGCACCCTGCTCCAGGTTCCCAGCCCTGGCACCAGTTCCCTCCCCACGCTGGGCCATGCTGAGCCCTGTGCTGTGGTTGTCCCCACTGTGCCCCCCTCATCCGATCCCATCTTCTTTTCCAGGTGCAGGATTTTGGCCTGAAGCACCTCCTGGGCATGGGCAGCCTGCGCCTCCTCTCGCTGGCAGGTGAGACCCTGACCCTCTGCCAGGGACCGGAGATCCCCGGGGCTGGGGAGGCACGGGGCATGGGACAGACAGAGCCCTGGGGACAGACAGAGCCCTGGGGACAGCCTGGGGACAGCAGAGGGCACCTGCACCCAGCCCAGCCTGGGGGAAAGATGAACGCCTGGGCTCTTGGGGTGCCGTGGTTTTGAGGGGGGGGTGGTGTTTTGGGAGTTATGTTTTTGCCATTCAAGTTTTCTGGGGTGTTGGTTTTTGAGGAGCTGTTCTGGAGGGCACTGTTTTAGGGGTGCTTTTTTTTTCTTTGAAATACTGGTGCTCTGAGGTGTCGGGTTTTTAGGCTGACCTTGGGGTGCAGCTGTTTTGGAGCACTGTTCCTTAGCATGCTGCTTTTCTGGGCTCTGGTGGGGATTTTTGGGGTGCTAATTTTGATGGTCTTAGTATTTTGGGGTGTTGGTGCTTTAAAGTACTGGGTTTTGTATGCATTTTTGAGTGCTGGATTTTTTTGGATGCTGATATTTTGAGTGATTTTTTGGTAGCGTTGGGGTTTTTGGGGGTACTTTTTTTTTAGCACGCTGTTTTTTTGGCTTCTGTCTTTTGGGTGTGGCGAGCTTGAAGGTGCTGGGATTTTGAGGTCCTGGTCTTTGGTTCTGTTTGGGGGGATTTTGGTGTTTTGGCATGTCGGTGCCTTTGAGATGCTATTTTTTGGGATGCTATTTTTGGGGGGCGCTGGTGTCCCGGGCTGACAGTGCACCCTGTCCCCTCGCAGGCTGCCCCTTGCTGACCACCACGGGGCTGTCGGGGCTGGTGCAGCTGCAGGAGCTGGAGGAGCTGGAACTCACCAACTGCCCCGGGGCCACCCCGGAGCTCTTCAAGTACTTCTCCCAGCACCTCCCGTGCTGCATGGTGATCGAGTAGCACCGGACCCGGCCCACCCGCGCCCGCCCCGGCCGCCACCGCCCGCCCCATCTCCCTCCGGCCGCGGGGGGATTCGAGAGACGCCCCCGATTCCACCCGAGCCCGGACACCCCCGCATCGACGCCCCCGAGGGACGCGGGGCTCCGGGGGGAGATGGGGGCAGGCGTGGCCCCCCCCGGTACCGTGTAAATTCCCCCCACGCCGCCGCCACCGCCCGCGCTCCTCCCGCTGTCCTGCCAACCCCTTCCGGACAGACGAACGGACATCACGGAAGCCCAAAGTGGGAAGGCGACGCTGTGTGACCCCCCCCCGGCCGCATCCTGCTGCCCCCGCCCCGGTGCCAGCGGGCACACGGCCCCGCCACCAAGGATGCTCCTGGCGACCAGAGGAGGCTCCCAGGGACGGGCCGGAGGAGGATGCTTCTTTTGGGGTGGCGGCGGAGGCTGGATGGGTCCCCTCACGCCCCCGGAGCGGGTCACCGAGCTCACCCCCCTCCCCGTGCTGCGTGTGCCCCCCAGCCCCCCTCGGGGCACCTTCTCCCGGTCAATAGGATGTCCCTCTCCGCCCGCCCGCCGCCCTCGCATGCTCGCTTGCTTCAGTCTCGTGCTACGGCAGGGTTCGGGGGACCCGGGGGGACAGTGACAAGTGACAGCCCCACTGAGCCTCTCCGCGCGGCTTCGCCCCGGCAGCCGGGCTCCCCTGCGAGCATCCCCCGCCCCGCGCCCCGCGGGGCCCTGGGGGCGATGCCACCGCCTGGTGGGGAGCGACCCATCCGTCTGGGATGGGACATCCCGGGCACCGGGGCCGCGCCTGAGCCGCCGGGCACAGAGAGACCACAGCGGGTGGCACCTCGGACGCACTGCCACCGCCGCCGCTCTTCCAGCTGAAAAGCCATCGCCCCGTGCCAGCGGCAGGCGGGGCACCGGGGGGACCCCCGGGCTGCGCCCAGAGGGGACCGAGCCGGCGCGGGGCTGGGGCTCGGTGGCCCCGGGCACTGCCCGCCGCCGCGGGAGGACAGCGGGCACGGGCACGGGGTGGGCACGGACACGGACACGGACACGGACACGGACACGGACACGGACACGGACACGGACACGCTTTCGGTTTGTTTTGCCTTTGTACCGGCCGGGAAGGAACTGCTGCACCAACCGCCGCCTCCGCTCCCTGCTTTGTCCGAAACGCCCCTTTCTGACCCCAAAATGGCACCGAGTGGCGCTGGAAGGGCTTTCGGGAGTCCCTGGGGCTGCGGGACAGGGTGGCACTGCCGGGGCACGGAGCACCCTGGCACGGGGCTGGAGGGCTGCCCGCACCCCCAAACCCAGCAGTGTCCCTGGGCACGGGGACAGGGCACACAGAGGGGGCCCCACCCCGCAGGTGACAGCAGCGCTTTTGGGGTGCCATAGCGCTGCACAAATCCCTGGTGCAGGTTACACAGACAGCCCCAGCACGGTCCCCATACTGTGCCCTGCACCCCTCGTGGCAGTGCCCCCCTGCACTGCCCTGTGCACCCCCATATCCCTCCAATGCACCTGAACACCCCCAATGCACCCCATATCCTCTCGGCACCCCCATTTCCCGCATGCACCCTGACCCACGAGGCTCCACAGACCCCTGACCCCCCGTTGTCCCCCTGCTCCCCCATTCCCATGCACCCACATCCCTCTGGAGCCCCCAGTGCCCTGCACCCCACATGTCCCCATATGCACACCCCCACGGCAGTGTGCCCAAGCTGCCGGTGCACCCACACACCCTGTGCACCCCTGTAGCGTTCCAGCTCACTGCTGCACCCCCAGTGCACCCCATACCCCCTCGGCACCCCCACTTCCCACCCTGACCCCTAATGCACCCCGCACCCCCCTAATCCCCGTTTTCTCCTGTGCTCCCGGTCCCTCTGGGGTGCACCTCCAGCATCCCCGTTCTCCCCGGATCCCATATCTCCCTGACACCCCCGGAACCCCCTGGTACTCTGTCCCCCTGCACCCCCAGTCCCCAGTGCAGCTCCCATCCCTCCAGAACCCCACTCCATCCCAGCGAACCCCCACTCCCAGTGCGCCCACACCCCTCCGGCACCCCCGCCAAGGCGCCCATATCCTCCAATTCCCATTTATCCCCGCGGACCCCTATTCCCACTGCACCCCATGTCCCCCCGGCAGCCCCGGACGCCCGCACCCCAAGGCTCAGTGCCCGCACCCAAGGGCTCAGTGCCCGCACCCCAGGGCTCAGTGCCCGCACCCCAGGCCTCAGTGCCCGCACCCCAAGGCTCAGTGCCCGCACCCAAGGGCTCAGTGCCCGCACCCCAGGATTCAGTGCCCGCACCCCAAGGCTCATTGTCCCTCACCCCCAGGGCTCAGTGCCCGCACCCCCGGGCTCAGTGCCCGCACCCCAGGGCTCAGGGCCCGCACCCCAAGGCTCAGTGCCCGCCCCCCAGGGCTCAGGGCCCGCACCCCAAGGCTCAGTGCCCGCCCCCCAGGGCTCAGGGCCCGCACCCCAAGGCTCAGTGCCCGCCCCCCAGGGCTCAGGGCCCGCACCCCAAGGCTCAGTGCCCGCCCCCCAGGGCTCAGGGCCCGCACCCCAAGGCTCAGTGCCCGCCCCCCAGGGCTCAGGGCCCGCACCCCAAGGCTCAGTGCCCGCCCCCCAGGGCTCAGGGCCCGCACCCCAAGGCTCAGTGCCCGCCCCCCAGGGCTCAGGGCCCGCACCCCAAGGCTCAGTGCCCGCCCCCCAGGGCTCAGGGCCCGCACCCCAAGGCTCAGTGCCCGCCCCCCAGGGCTCAGGGCCCGCACCCCAAGGCTCAGTGCCCGCCCCCCAGGGCTCAGGGCCCGCACCCCAAGGCTCAGTGCCCGCCCCCCAGGGCTCAGGGCCCGCACCCCAAGGCTCAGTGCCCGCCCCCCAGGGCTCAGGGCCCGCACCCCAAGGCTCAGTGCCCGCCCCCCAGGGCTCAGGGCCCGCACCCCAAGGCTCAGTGCCCGCCCCCCAGGGCTCAGGGCCCGCACCCCAAGGCTCAGTGCCCGCCCCCCAGGGCTCAGGGCCCGCACCCCAAGGCTCAGTGCCCGCCCCCCAGGGCTCAGGGCCCGCACCCCAAGGCTCAGTGCCCGCCCCCCAGGGCTCAGGGCCCGCACCCCAAGGCTCAGTGCCCGCCCCCCAGGGCTCAGGGCCCGCACCCCAAGGCTCAGTGCCCGCCCCCCAGGGCTCAGGGCCCGCACCCCAAGGCTCAGTGCCCGCCCCCCAGGGCTCAGGGCCCGCACCCCAAGGCTCAGTGCCCGCCCCCCAGGGCTCAGGGCCCGCACCCCAAGGCTCAGTGCCCGCCCCCCAGGGCTCAGGGCCCGCACCCCAAGGCTCAGTGCCCGCCCCCCAGGGCTCAGGGCCCGCACCCCAAGGCTCAGTGCCCGCCCCCCAGGGCTCAGGGCCCGCACCCCAAGGCTCAGTGCCCGCCATGGCCCCGCGCCCCCAGCGCGCCCTATACCGGGCGGGGGCGGGGCCTGCGTGGGGGCGGGGCTTCATACGGGGCGGGGCCTCTTGATCGGCATGGAAATGGGCGGGGTCTGATGGATCTCCGGTCAGGAAGGGGGCGTGGCCTGGTGCAGGGGACCAGAAAGGCGTGGTCTAAAGACGGGGGCGTGGTCTACGGACAGGGGCGGAGCAGAGCTGCGGGAGGTGTGGTCTTGTCACAGATGGGCGGGGCTGAACAATGGGCGGGACGGAGGGGGCGTGGTCAGACGGCGGGAGGCGCATCCGGGTAGCGTCAGGGGGCGTGGCCTGGAGCCAGGGGCCGTGCCCCGCCGTCGGAAGGGGCGTGGTCCGTCTGGAGGGGGCGGGTCCCAATGGCGGAAGGGGGCGTGGCCTGGCGGGAGCTCGGCGGCGGGGCCTGCTCGGCCCGAGCGGGAACCGGCACCGGGCTCGGCTTCGGGAGCGGCACCGGGGCCCCGCACGGAGCGCTCCGCGACCGGCAGGCAGCGGCAGGAGACTCTGTGAGGCGGGAGGGGGATGTGAGAGGGCCCCGGGGGCTCTGAGGGGTGGGAAGGGCCCTGAGCAGGGTATGGGGTGAGGGGGCCCCTGAGGGAACCGAGTGGGCTCTGAAGGGGCTCTGGATCAGGAGCGGGCTCTGAAGGGGCTGTGGGTCAGGAGCGGGCCCTGAAGGGGCTCTGGATCAGGAGCGGGCTCTGCAGAGAGGGGGGAGTGGGCTCTGAGGGGTCCGGGGGGCTGGGGGTCAGGAGAGGGCCCTGGTGGGGTGGCACTGTGGGATATGAGGGGCTGCGGGTGGCCTCGGGGGAGGACGGGACCCCCAGGGGGCTGTGAGGGTGGGAAGGGGCCCTGAGGAGGTGGGAGTGTGCGGTGTGAGGGATCAGTGGGGCCTGGCAGGGGAGGGCAGTGCTGTGGCAGGAGCTCAGCCCAGCTCTGGAGGACACAGCCCGTGGGACCCGTGATCCCTCCAGGAGCCTGGAGTAACTGCTGCCCCCCAGAGAAGGAGGGTCATCCCCTGGCTCTTGCGGGCTCTGGGGCTCCGAGTGCCCCACGGAGGTAGCCGTGGCCTCACTTCACTCCACCTCGTGCTGCAGACACTGCTCACTTCAACCACAGCGCTGTGCTTGACCTGGATTATCAGCAACAGCAAAACCTCTCAGGCTGTGGCCGAGGAGGGAAGAGGGAACCCAGAGGAGGTTTTCAGGAACTCCCTGAGAGGAAGCCACAGAGGGTGGCAGGAGGAGAGCCCGGAGTGGGGCTGTGTCTCCCTCCCACAGGCAGCTGTGGCCTCTCACCTGCTCAGCCCGTTGATGCAGCCACAAGAAGCCGCGGTCGGAGCCACCAGGGCCCGGCAGGAGCCACGGGAGCCCAGCCTGTCCCCGCCCAGCTCTGGCTGAGGTGGAGCAGGGCGGCCGTGCGGGTGTGCAGGCAGCCTGCTGGAGAGGGGACAGCGCCCCGAGGACAGCCATGGAGAAGATGGCCAGGGTCACCACCGCCCTGGGGGGCAACGCGCTGACCGGCCGCACCATGTTCTGCCACCTGGACGCCCCTGCCAACGCCATCAGCGTGTGCCGGGACGCCGCCCAGGTGGTGGTGGCCGGCCGCAACATCTTCAAGATCTACTCCATCGAGGAGGAGCAGTTTGTGGAGAAGCTGAACCTCCGCGTGGGCCGCAAGCCCTCCCTGAACTTCAGCTGCGCCGACGTGGTGTGGCACCAGATGGACGAGAACCTGCTGGCCACCGCCGCCACCAACGGCGTGGTGGTCACCTGGAACCTGGGCAAGCCGTCGCGCAACAAGCAGGACCAGCTGTTCACGGAGCACAAGCGCACTGTCAACAAGGTGTGCTTCCACCCCACCGAGGTGTACATGCTGCTCAGCGGCTCCCAGGACGGCTACATGAAGTGCTTCGACCTGCGCAAGAAGGACTCCGTCAGCACCTTCTCTGGTACAGACGTGGCTGCTGTTGTCCCCTTTCCCTGTGGGGAGGCAGAGTTTGGGAGCTTTGTCCTTTCCTTGCTTGTTCCTTCACCCTTAGGAGAGGCAAGGGTTGGGGGTTTTGTTGTTCCCCTTGCCCAAGAGGAGGGTTTGCTCAGGGTGTGATGCCCAGAAGGAGCTGAGAGGCATTTTGGTGCCTTCTCTTGCCTCTCAGTGCACTGTGTGGGTGATGGAAGACAGTCACAGCACTCCCTGCTGCCCCTCCTCTCTGTGCCATGGCTCTTCCAGTGGGATTTTTACCTTTGCTGGAGCTCTTACCTCGTGTCCCCTCCCAGGCCAGTCGGAGAGCGTGCGTGATGTGCAGTTCAGCATCCGGGACTATTTCACCTTCGCCGCCACCTTCGAGAACGGGAACGTGCAGCTGTGGGACATCCGCCGGCCCGACCGCTACGAGAGGATGTTCACAGCCCACAACGGGCCCGTCTTCTGCTGCGACTGGCACCCCGAGGACAGGTCAGTGTGGGCCTGCCAGCCCCCCGGCCTTGCAGGACAAGAGACCCTAAAAACAGGACTGGGATTTTGTGGGGGAAGGTGTGGTCTGTGATACCGCGTCCCCTTGTGTCAGGGGCTGGGATGTTGCTGGGAGATAGGATTGATTTGAGCATTTGGGGTGGTGTAAGGGTGTTTGAGGTTTGTTTTTTGATAAATTAGGGGTGTTTGAGGCACTGGGTGTTTTATGGTTGTGTATAGCAGTGTCACAGCAGCCCTTGCTCCAGTGCTCAGCTTGAGGAAGGCACTAGTTGGCTGCTCTGGGACACAGCTCGCTTGTGTTCAGTCGTGTTTCCCTCCTGCCTTTCCTGGGAGGTTGCTGGGAAGGATGTGGAAGGAGCTGCTACAGTGTGCAGGTCTCTCCTCACTCCCTGCCAGGCAGTGCTGCCACTGCTCGTGATCTTAGAGGGGCACTGAAATATGCTCAGAATGGCCTTTTCCTCTCTGCTGTGCCTGGCCAGAGGAAAGCAGAGCCAGAGGGAACTGGTCGGACTGGGATGTGGCTCTAGAGGAGCAGGGCCATAACTGGGGGCACGAAGGGGGTTCTGCCTGACCTGGTTGTTGCAGAGCAGAGGTGCCAGGGGAGCTCCTGGGAGGATGGGATTGCAGCCCAGCTGCGTTCCTGTGGCGTGGATGTGGTCACACGTGTGCTGTGAGCAATTCCGTGCCACGGTGGGGACAGAGGTGAGCACTGCTCCGTCCCTGTCCCAGGGGCTGGCTGGCCACAGGTGGCCGTGACAAGATGGTGAAGGTGTGGGACATGAACACGACGCGGGCCAAGGAGATCTACTGCGTGCAGACCATCGCCTCGGTGGCGCGGGTGAAGTGGCGCCCCGAGTGCAAGCACCACATCGCCACCTGCTCCATGATGGTGGACCACAACATCTACGTGTGGGACGTGCGCCGCCCCTTCATCCCCTCCGCCATGTTCGAGGAGCACAAGGACGTCACCACGGGCATCGTGTGGCGGCACCTGCACGACCCCTACTTCCTCCTGTCGGGCTCCAAGGACAGCACCCTTTACCAGCACATCTTCAAGGACGCCAGCCAGCCCATCGAGCGGGCCAACCCCGAGGGGCTGTGCTACAGCCTCTACGGAGACCTGGCCTTCGCCGCCAAGGAGAGCCTCATCTCCTCCGACTCCAACCGCAAGCCCTACATCGGCGACCGGCGCCACCCCATCTTCTTCAAGCGCAAGCTGGACCCCACGGAGCAGTTTGAGTACATCTCGTCCTGCAGCGCCCTCAGCGTGTTCGAGACGGACGTGGAGAGCGGCAGCATGGACTGGTTCGTGCACACGGCCAAGCAGTACGCGCTGGCCGGCCGGCCGCTGGCCGAGCTCTGCGACCACAACGCCAAGGTGGCCAAGGGGCTGGAGCGCAACCAGGTGAGCTGAGGGATGGCCGGGCTGCGGGGGGAGCCTGGGCAGCTCTGACAGGGAATGTGCTCCACACAGGTGGCGCAGACGTGGACGATGCTGAGGATCATCTACTCCAGCCTCGGCACCGTGTCGTCCGCCAACCTCAACCACAGCATGGGCAAAGGCAGCACTGCCCTCCCACTCATGAACAGGTACGGGGTGGGAGCTGCAGGCAGCCATGAGATGAGGGGATAGCTCCGTGAGGGGGGAGTGGGAACGGCTCCTTGGCTGGGATGGGGTTACAGAGTCACATCACGGAATAGCAGAATGGTTTGGGTTGGAAGGAGCCTTAAAGCTTATCTCATTCCAAGGAAAGGATCTTACACATCATCTTGTATCACCCCCTGCCATGGGGAGGGACACCTGCCATTATCCCAGGTGGTTCCAACCCCATCCAGCCTGCCCTTGGACACTGCCAGGGATCCAGGGGCAGCCACAGCTTCTCTGGGCACCCCGTGCCAGGGCCTGCCCACCATCCCGGGGAACAATTTCCATATAATACCTAACCTACCCCAGACACAGGGACAGCTCTCCCTCAGCCTCAGGCTGTGCTGGTTTGCATGCTGGCATTGTTTGAATGAAGCCACTTCCCATGTTGGTGTGGCCAGCCTGGCCTCAAAATGTGCAGCCTCACACACTGCTCCCTTCTCTCCTTCAACCAAAGTTTGGCCTGTGGTGGGGCAGGGGCTGGACCAGCTTTGCAGTTACTGAATTCATGAATTACAGAATCTCTAACGTTGGAAAAGTCCTCTGAGATCATTCCCCCAGCAGCACAGCCAAGGCCACCACTAAACCATGTCCCTAAGCACCACATCTACATGATGTTGAGTATCTGCAGGGGTGGAGACTCCACCACTGCCCTGGAGCAGTGCCAGTTCCTCACCACCCTTTCCATGAAGAAATTTTCCCAAGATCCAATCTAAGCCTCCTTTGGCACATTTTGAGGCCATTTCCTCTTCTCCTGTCCCTGTTCCCAGGGAGCAGAGCCTGACTCCCCTAGTTCCCCCCTCTTGTCAGAGTTGTGGAGCTGAGAAGGTCTCCCCTGAGCCTCCTTTTCTCCAGGCTGAGCCCCTTTCCAGCTCCCTCAGTTGCTCCTGGTGCTCCAGCTCCTTCCCCAGCTCTGTTCTCTTCCCTGGACATGCTCCAGCCCCTCAGTGTCTTTCCTGTCTTGAGGGCCCCAAAAGTGACCCCAGGATCTGAGGTGAGGCTCAGCAGTGCCCAGGGCAGTGATGGTGACCAAGGGCTGGGGCTGGAGGAGGTGTCTCATGGCTGGAGCTGGAACTGCCAGTGTGCAGAGGTTTCTTCTGGAGCCTTTCCAAGGCAGAGCACAGCCCAGCTCTGCCAGCAGCTGGCTGGCGTGGAGAGCCCGCTGTGGGCTGATGAAGCAGGAAAACTTGTTTTTCCTCTTCTCAATGACATAAACATGTGGGGTGAGGACTCCAAATGAGCTGTCAGACCTCGCAGGACCGGGTTCCCAGTGAGTGACAGATCCTCAAATAACACCAAAGGAAACAAGCACTGTCCTTCACCAAGCTCTGCCTCCAGCTGCATGGCTGTGCCTGTCTGAGATGGCAGGCAGCAGCCTGGGGAGCTGGGCTCTGCTCCAGCCCCATCCCTTCCCTTCTCCATCTCGGTGAAGGCCAAGCATGGTGATGCATAACTGACAGCCAGGCACCTTGGAGCAAGGCAGCTCCTGTTCACCTGCCTCTGAGGGGAAGGAGATGGAGCCAAGAGCCTGCCCAGCTGTGGAATTCTTCAGGGAGACCTTTGCAGTGCGTGTGCAGTGCCACCAGGCTTGCAGGAAGGGCTGTGATCACTGTCACAATGTGTCTTTATTTGTAACTCACACAGTGGGGACTGGTGTTATCCCTTCTGCCCACGAAGGGATATCACCATATCTCATGTTTCTCCATTCAAATTGCAACTGGACACCTGTATCCAGGCTGTTTGCTGGCTGAAATGGAAACTTTATACTCCTCTGACTGTTAAATATGGCTTTTTCCCCAGCTTTAACCTGAAAGATATCCCTGCTGGGCTGGGCAGCGAGTCCAGACTGGACCGCAGCAAAGGAGAAAGCCGCCCAGAGAACATCCTCATGGATTCCTCCTCCACCCTGATCAACAACGAGGGTAACACCCCTGCCTGGGCACAGTGCAGCCCCACAGCTCCTCCCTCCTCAGCCGTAGATAGGCCACAAACTGGGGCATTTGTCCTGTGAACTGGGGTGGCTGAATGTGCTGCAGCCCCAGGGTGAAGGGCACTGAGCCCCAGGGCGCTGCAGAAGGACAGTGTTCCCCCGTGACCTGGGGTGACAGTGACAGTGGTGGGGAGCTGAGCTGTGTGGCTCGAGCACAGCCTGGCATGCTGGGCAGGGCACTGGGAGGTGGATCCAGTGGTGTGATGAGCTGATTTCTCTTTCCATGGGCACGCAGACAACGAGGAGACGGAGGGCAGCGACGTCCCTGCGGATTACCTGCTGGGGGACGTGGAGGCAGACGAGGACGACCTGTACATGATGGACCACGAGAACCCGCACGGTGAGCGCGCTGGGGGACGTGCTGTCTGTCCCCGCTGGGTTTGCTCTGCTCACTCCTGCTCTTCTCCTCGCAGCTGAAGAGCAGGAGTACAGCCTTCCCCAGGAAGCCTTCCCCCTGCGCCACGAAATCGTGGACAACCCGTCGGCCTTGGACCACCTGCAGGACAAGGCCGACTCCCCTCACGTCAGCGGCAACGAGGCCGAGACGGTGTCGCTGACGCCCGTGGAGTCCTTCTCGCTCATCTCCATCTCCCACTCTCTGTACGAGAACCGCCTGCCCTCCGACTTCTTCAACCCCATCGTGCGGGACACGCTGCTCTTCTACGCCGAGCAGGGCGACGTGCAGACGGCCGTGTCCGTGCTCATCGTGCTGGGAGAGCGCATCCGCAAGGAGATCGATGAGCAGACGCAGGTACGGCCCCGAGGGCAGGGCCGCGCCTCGCTGGCACCCGCAGCGGGTGCATCCCCCTGGGATGGGCTCCTGCCTGGCGCCGGGGCATGCTCCTTCTCCTGCAGGCCCTGGCAGGGCAGCTCTGAGGCAGAGTGAGCAGCCCCAGGGTTCTGGCAGCCCCACCAGCAGTCCTGGCAGGGATTTGAGTGGGCTCTGCAGGGCTGGGGTGGGGAGGTGTCCTCACCCTGTTGATGCAGGGAAGGATGCTGTTCCTCAGCACTGCAGAGCCATTCTCCCACTGCAGGGAGCAGAGGATCACAGAATCCTTTAGGTTGGAAAAGGCTTCTAAGATCATTGAGTCCAACCATTCCCCCAGCACTGCCAAGGTCACCTCTGAACCATGTCCTGAGGTGCCACATCCACACAGCTTTTAGATCCTCCCAAGGGATGGTGACTCCACCACTGCAACGGGCAGCCTGTGCCAATGCCTGACCACCCTTTCCACGAAGAAATTCTCCCTAATATCCAACCTAAACCTCCTCTGGCCCAGCTTGAGGCCATTTCCTCTTTTCCTGTCCCTGTTCCCTGGGAGCAGAGCCTGACCCCACCTGGCTCCACCCTCCTGTCAGGGACTTGTAGAGTGAGAAGGCCCCCCCTGAGCCTCCTTTTCTCCAGGCTGAGCCCCCAGGGGAATCTTGCCTTTGGGATGCAGGGCTGGAGTCCTGAGGGGGTTTCAGGTGGATGCGGAGGCTCAGCTGCCTGTGGCTGTCCCCAGGAGCACTGGTACACGTCCTACATCGACCTGCTGCAGCGCTTCCAGCTCTGGAACATCTCCAACGAGGTGATCAAGCTGAGCACCTGCCGTGCCATCAACTGCCTCAACCAGGCTTCCACCACCCTGCACGTCAACTGCAGCAACTGCAAGCGGCCCATGAGCAACAGGGGCTGGATCTGTGACAGGTCAGGGGCCCAGAGGGGCCTGTGGGTGCCCCTGTTCCCCCTTATTGCCCCCCAAGGGCTCTCCCTGCCCACACCCACCCGAATCTCCTGGTGCAGGTGTCGGCAGTGTGCCAGCATGTGTGCCGTGTGTCACCACGTGGTGAAGGGGCTCTTCGTCTGGTGCCAGGGCTGCAGCCATGGTGGCCACCTGCAGCACATCATGAAGTGGCTGGAGACCAGCTCCCACTGCCCCGCTGGCTGCGGCCACCTCTGCGAGTACACCTGAGCCCCCCGAGCACACCTGAGCCCCCCGAAGACACCTGAGCCCTGCCCCTGCAGGGCAGCTGGCAGCGGGGTGGGCAGGGGGGAGCGGGGCAGGCAGCGTGCCCTGCCCCATGCCCCTGGCACCGCCCTCCGTGTATTTATTTGTGTAAATAAGGCCTGGGGGGCACCCCAGCCGTTTTTTACTGGATTAAAACAAACCAGCAGCTGATTCGAGCCATGACTCCTGTCTTTGCTTCGCCTGGATGCAGGGACCGCTGGGAGGGGCCCCGGCCCCGCTCCGCAGGGTCCCGCCCTGCGGTGTCCCGCTGTCCCCATGCTGTTGTCGCCTGGGGTCGGGCGGCCTCTTTAACCCGTGAGGCGGGGCTCGCTTTCCGCTGCCTTATAAGTGATGGCCCTTACCGGGACCCGTAGTGACGGGCCCAGCCAATGACCGCGTTCACCGTGTGCTCGCGGTGCATGCCGGGAGTTGTAGTTCCCGGTGTCTCCGGTGCCGGTCCCGATGGCGGCGGCCCCGCGGCTGCTGCCGCTGCTGCTGCTGGGCTGGGTCCGGCCCGGCGCCTGCACCGACCCTCCGGACGGCGGCTGGTAAGGGCAGGGGCTGCCCCGGTCCCTGTGCGGGTCCTGGTGCCGGTGCCGAGCGGAGTCTCCCGTTGCAGGCTGGCGGGCACGGTGCCGGAGGAGCCACGCTGCACCGTGGAGCGAGCCGATGCCTCCCTCACCTACTCCCTCTTCCTGCAGCGGTACGGGGGGCCCGGCACCGAGACAGGGCCCGGGACAGTTCCGGTGCACCGGGCGGGCTAACGGGGAGCGGCGGGGGCGGCTGGGGGGGGGCGGGCCCGGGAGCCCCGGGGGAAAACCTGGGGGAAGGTGGTCAGCACGGACCCGGTGCCCCGGGGGTGCTTTGGAGCCAGTCTCGGGGTGGGTCGGGGCCGGTCCCGGTGCCCCGGGGTGGGTCAGTGCCGGTCCCCGAGCTCCGCCCGTGCGGGACCCCGCTGGATGCCGCCCCCAGGTTCGCCTTCTCCCGGCCAGTGATCCTCGGTGGGGTCACGGACAATTCGGTGAGTGCCGCGAGGGGACGGAGGGTTCCGGCTGGGGCGCACCCCCCGGTGCCCCGGGAGCGGCGGCAGCATCCCGGCTCCCCGCGCTCCATCCCCAGGCGTTCCGAGCCCTCTGCACCCGGGAGAAGCTGCTGGCGGCCTTCGGGCCCTTCCCGGTGCGCCTCAGCACGGCCAACACCTACTCGTACCGCAAAGGTGAGCGCGGGGCCGTGCCGCCCGCGGGGCTGCTGCTGCCCCGCTCCTCGCTCCCGTTCCCCGCTCCTCGCTCCCGTTCCCCGCTCCCGTTCCCCGCTCCTCGCTCCCGTTCCCCGCTCATCCCTGCCTTTCCTCCGCTCATCCCTCCCATTCCCCCGCTCCTCGCTCCCGTTCCCCGCTCCTCGCTCCCGTTCCCCGCTCCTCGCTCCCGTTCCCCGCTCCTCGCTCCCGTTCCCCTCTCCTCGCTCCCGTTCCCTGCTCCCGTTCCCCGCTCCCGTTCCCCTCTCCTCGCTCCCGTTTCCCGCTCCTCGCTCCGTTCCCCGCTCCCGTTCCCCGTTCCCCGCTCCGTTCCCCGCTCATCGCTCCGTCCCGCAGTGGATGTGCCGTTCCAGCAGTACGTGGAGCAGCTGCTGAAGCCGCAGGACCCGGCGCGCCTGGGCAGCGGTGGGTAGCGCCGTCCCGCCCCCCGCAGCCGCTGCCCCGGCCGGGCTCAGCTCCCGTGTCCCCCCAGACACCCTCTACTTCTTCGGGGACAACAACTTCACCGAGTGGGAGCCCCTCTTCCAGCACTACGTGCCCCCTCCCTTCCGCATCCCGGGCACCAGCCCCGCCTACAGCTTTGGCATCGCAGGTGGGTGTGGGACGGGACTGGGACAGGAACCCATGGGATGGGACTGGGCCGGGACTGGGACGGGATTGGGCCGGGACTGGGATGGGATTGGGATGGGATTGGGCCGGGACTGGGATGGGACTGGGATGGGATTGGGCCGGCACTGGGCCAGGACTGGGCCGGGACTGGGGGCTCTCCCCAGCACCACCCCTCTACTCCCACCAGGCTCAGGCTCTGGCGTTCCCTTCCACTGGCACGGCCCCGGTTTCTCCGAGGTGATTTTCGGCAGGAAGGTGAGAACGGAGCCCTGGGGGAAGGAAGGATTTGGGGAGGGGGCACAGAAGCAGGCCCCTGCCGGGTGTCCCTGGCAGGGCCGGAGGGGGTGGGAGGGGATGTGGCCGCGGTGTTTTGCAGCGCTGGTTCCTGTACCCGCCGGAGCAGACCCCGCACTTCCACCCCAACGAGAGCACGCTGGCCTGGCTGCAGCACACCTACCCCGCGCTGCCGCCGGCCCAGCGCCCGCTGGAGTGCACCCTGCGCCCCGGGGAGGTGAGGCAGGGCTGCGGGGGACCCCGGGCGTCCCAGCCAGAGCCGTGGGACCCCACTGCTGTCCCCTGCAGGTGCTGTACTTCCCTGACCGCTGGTGGCACGCCACTCTCAACCTGGACACCAGCGTCTTCATCTCCACCTTCCTGGGCTAGGGCTGGCAGGACGAGGATGCCTCACCAGCATCCCAGCCAGGCCAGGAGCTCCAGCTCCTGCCACCCTCAGGGACAGGCCACTGCTATTGGGACCAACTGCCTGAGAAAGTTTTGGTTTTTACTGGTCTTTGGATTAAAGTTGTTCTACTGAAGCACGCTGTGTGTTGCTACATCCCTGGAGCACACCTGGTCCCCCCAGGATGGCAGCGATTCCCCAGCCAGGATATCCCCAGAAATGGCTGCTGTGAACCACTCCAGATCCTTTTCCACGTTTATTGCTGAATTTTTTTTATTCTTTTTCTATATATATATTTTTTAATGGACATTGGCAAACTTCCAGAGGGCACTCAAAAGCCAGGCAGGCCGTCGGCCGACCGAAACGCTGGAATCTCACTTGGATGCAAATCTGTTGGTTATTTTTTGTAGGGTTTTTAAGGGATCTCATTAAAAGGAAGAAGAACTTTAACCCAGGTGGTTGTTCTTAGGGAACCGCAGTCCCAGTGGGGAGGGGGAGGTGGGAACCAGCCCCTTCCAGCCCTGGGCCAGTTGTTTCCCAGGAAAAGCCAGAGGGTGCAGCAGCACCCCGGTAAGTGGCTGTTTACTGGGAAGAGGGCCCAACCCTGGCCAGGCAGGAGGTGGAAGGAGGAGAAACAACTCTAAACACAGGGAAGGACGGGGCTCCAGGTGCTCATCCCAGCCAGCCCCCTGTGGCAATCCCTGGAGCGGGACGTGCTCTCTGGGGACTGTGGCTGCCCTGGCTGAGGGGGTGGCAGACATGGTGGTGAGGCCACTGCCGAGGAGCCAGCATTCCAACCCCCAGGCAGCTCCCGGAGCGGGAGAGGGGAGCCAGGGAGCCGTGGTGCCCGCCTCCTCGGGAAGGGGACATGGTGACATGCCCTCGCCCAGCGCCAGGCCCTGGGCAGCTGGGGCGGAGCGGGGACAGCCGGAGAGCGAGTAAGGCATGGTGCCAGCCCGGGGAGAGCCAGCTGTGCCAGGGCAGCCCCCGGCCCCTCAGTAATCCTCCACCCAGCCGTTCTCCGAGATGAACGCGTCTATCACCTCCTTCATGGCGAGGTTGGGGATCAGCTGGTCCTGGGTCAGGGGGCTCCGCGTCACCGGGTCGAAATGCCCCACGCGCTGCGGGGGAACCGGTTACTCCACGTGCCCAGGCTCAGCCCCGGGGCGCGGGTGGCCGTGAGGCCAGCGCCGCGTGGCACCTGCCCACGGCAAGGGGGAGAGCCCCTCGGAGGTGCCTCCCAGCAGGAGAGGGCAGGTCAGGGTGTGAGACCCCTGCCAAGAGCCGCCTCCGCTTTGGGCAGGGCCCGGCAGCGCCTGCTCCACAGGGAGCTGCCCGGGCAGGTAACTGGGAGCAAACCCAAGGAGCCTGCGGAGCTCTGAGTTGAGCAAAAAGATGCCTTCCCACCCAGGCAAGGTCCTGGGAAAGCCCCCTGGCCCGGAGTACCTGGAGATGCTCCTCAATGTCCTTCCTGTCGTAGGTGATCCCGCTGGGCGTGATGCAGGGCTCTCTCATCAGCTCAAAACTGATCTTCCCACACAGGTAGTCAGGGATGTCCCGCTTCTGGCTCGAGAGAGGCACAGCTGGGTCAGGAAAGTGGGCTGGGAGGTGGTGCTGGCTCAGAGCAGAGAGCAGGGTACACAGCAGGTTTACAGGAACACAGGCTGGGCCACACTCACCTTCCTCTTCTCATCCACTTGGGAGAAGAGCTCGTCCATGTCTGCCAGGTATTTGTCCTGAAAGACAAGCCCTTGAGGACACGGGGTCCCTGGTGTGTAGGGGCTACAGGTCCCCAGGGAGAGCCCCAAAGCCTCCCACCATGGGTATTGGGGCAGGACCTCAGTGGCCCCTCTGCCTGTGCAGCTCCTGACTGAACTGGCAGGAGTGATCCAGCTTACAAATAACCTTCCTTTGTGGGCCTATTTTTATCTGGGATTAGTCCCCAGCACCCAGACCCACATGTGGCCGAGAGCCACTTGTGTTTCCTCAGGGAACAATAAGCACAGCACACCTCACTGCTGCCAGGCTGGGACAAGAGGTGACAGAGCAGGGGAAGCCATCATGGGGGGACACAACAGCCCTGCAGTAGTGGCTCGAGCTATAGAATGAAGGCTACTGTGCTGTGCTGTGTCCCAAGGTCTCCCAGCTTTCACCTGCACAGCTGCAGCCCTGCAGCTCCCCTGGCTGCAGCAGAGCATGAGGATGGGGATGAGGACGGGATGAGGAAGCCCCCAGCCCCCCACTCACGTGTTTGGCCTCGATGCTGGCCAGCTGAACACGGCTCCGGCTCTCGTCTGTGTTTTCCTCCTGCTGAGTCTTTCGGCACTCCGCCAGCTCCCTAGGACAGAGTGGGAGACCAGGAGATGGGGGAGCATTGTCACTCCCCTCCCTGCTGCAGGGCTCTGCAGAGACACCTCACACAGAGCTGTGCCAGCCTGGTGGCACCCAAAAAGCCTCTCCAGGCGCCCTGTTACCTCTCCTTCTCGGCCACGATCAGCTTGGTCAGGTGGGAGTGCAGCTCGTTCTCCTGGTTGATGCGCTTCTCCTCGATGCTGTTCCAGCGTTTCTTCTTGGCGATGCGCAGCGCGCTGGGGATGTCGTCCCCGAAATTCAGCCGCTGCTCCTTGGCGAGGTTGTAGGCTGGGCAGAGAAAGGGCACCTCAGCGCCAGCTGCGGCGTCCCTGTCGCCCTGCTGGCCCTCTCCCAGCAGACAGGAGCAGGGCACAGTGGCAGCGTGCCCGCTCACCTCTCTGCAGGTTGGCGATGGCCTCGTCGTAGTTTTCCATCTCCATCTGGCACTGGCCCAGGAAGAAGTGAGCCTTCACGGACTGCCCGTCCAGCTCCAGCGCCCGCTTGCAGTCGGCCAGCGCCTTGTCGTGCTGCTGCATCTTCAGGTAGCACAGGGCCCGGTTGGTGTAGTACACGGCCACCAAGGGGTTCCGGTTCTGCGGGGACAGGCCCATGTCGGTGGCGGCGGCAGCGCCAGGACGTGCTGGCGGCCGGGTGACAGACGGTGACTCGCCGAGCCAGCGGCGCAGCGCTGTCACCCTGGGCAGGCAGGGCCAGCAGTGCCAGCCGGGGCGTGCACCCCGTGGGGAGGCGCTGGCAGGGATTGGGGACAGTCCCCATAGGGCAGCCCGTGTCCCTGCCCCCAGAGGGGACTGTCCCCCTGGCACCCCGACTGTCCCAGCGTGGCTCTGCCCCACCCAGCACAGCCCTGGGACACTGCAGGGTTTAGGGGAAACAGGCTCAGGCTGGGGGGGTGCAGGGCTTGGAGTCCAGCTTGGAGTTGGGTGGGGGAGAGGATGGGCTGGGGTGTCCAAGTCCAGACAGGGCCAGGGCCGGGGGTGCCAGGCCAGGCCCAGGAGGGGGAATCAGGCCCAGAGCTGTGCCCAGCACCCCAGGACGAGCCAGGCCCAGTGAGGGAACAATGTCCAGATTAAAAGGGTCCCATCTCAGGGGGATCTTGGCCAGGCCCTGAGGAAGAACAGTGCCCAGCCCGAGGAGGTTCCAGCCCGGTGATGCCCAGGCCAGGCCTCGGGAGACGGCCAGGCCGGGGAAGGGCCACCCTGCGGGCCTCACGGCCCGGTGTGCGGCGGGGGTGACCCATCCCCGGGGACCCCACCCCAGGCTGGCCAGGCCGGCTCCGGGAGGGTGTCCAGGCCACGGGGGAGGTGCCAGCCTGGGGCCATCGAGGCCAGGGGGGAGGTCCCGTTCCCGGGGAGTCCCGTCCGGGGTACGCGGGCCGGGCCTTGGGACGGCGGTGCGGGTGTGCCCTCCCCGGGGCTCCGGTCCCGCTCGGGCCGGGGGCGCCGCTGGGACTCACGATGGCGCGGCCGTAGCAGGCGGCGGCCTCGGGGTACTTGCGGCCGCCGAAGAGCCGGTTCCCCTGCTCCTTGTGCTCCTGCGCGCTGTGGCTCTTCTCGGGGCTGCCGCCGCCCGCGCCGGGTTAATAGAGGGGAAGGGGGCGGGGCTAGATTTGGGGCGTGGCCTGTCCGCAGGAGGTGGGGGCGGGGCGTGCCTGGAAAGGAGCGGAGCGCGCCGGGGGCGTGGTCAGTGTCAGGTGGGCGGGGTCTGGGCGGGGTTTATAGGGCTGAACAGGGGATGATGGATGGAGGGGATTGGGGTGTGGTTTATGGGGACGGATGGATGGATGGATGGATGGATGGAGGGAGGGATGGATGGATGGAGGGAGGGATGGATGGATGGAGGGAGGGATGGATGGATGGAGGGAGGGATGGATGGATGGAGGGAGGGATGGATGGATGGAGGGAGGGATGGATGGATGGAGGGAGGGATGGATGGATGGAGGGAGGGATGGATGGATGGAGGGAGGGATGGATGGATGGAGGGAGGGATGGATGGATGGAGGGAGGGATGGATGGATGGAGGGAGGGATGGATGGATGGAGGGAGGGATGGATGGATGGAGGGAGGGATGGATGGATGGAGGGAGGGATGGATGGATGGAGGGAGGGATGGATGGATGGAGGGAGGGATGGATGGATGGAGGGAGGGATGGATGGATGGAGGGAGGGATGGATGGATGGAGGGAGGGATGGATGGATGGAGGGAGGGATGGATGGATGGAGGGAGGGATGGATGGATGGAGGGAGGGATGGATGGATGGAGGGAGGGATGGATGGATGGAGGGAGGGATGGATGGATGGAGGGAGGGATGGATGGATGGAGGGAGGGATGGATGGATGGAGGGAGGGATGGATGGATGGAGGGAGGGATGGATGGATGGAGGGAGGGATGGATGGATGGAGGGAGGGATGGATGGATGGAGGGAGGGATGGATGGATGGAGGGAGGGATGGATGGATGGAGGGAGGGATGGATGGATGGAGGGAGGGATGGATGGATGGAGGGAGGGATGGATGGATGGAGGGAGGGATGGATGGATGGAGGGAGGGATGGATGGATGGAGGGAGGGATGGATGGATGGAGGGAGGGATGGATGGATGGAGGGAGGGATGGATGGATGGAGGGAGGGATGGATGGATGGAGGGAGGGATGGATGGATGGAGGGAGGGATGGATGGATGGAGGGAGGGATGGATGGATGGAGGGAGGGATGGATGGATGGAGGGAGGGATGGATGGATGGAGGGAGGGATGGATGGATGGAGGGAGGGATGGATGGATGGAGGGAGGGATGGATGGATGGAGGGAGGGATGGATGGATGGAGGGAGGGATGGATGGATGGAGGGAGGGATGGATGGATGGAGGGAGGGATGGATGGATGGATGGATGGAGGATGGATGGATGGATGGATGGATGAGGGATGGATGGATGGATGGTGGATGATGGATGATGGACGGATGGTGGATGATGGATGATGCTGTTTTGGGGTGCGGTTTATGGGGTTGAAGGTGTTTGATGGGAGCAGGGTGCACAGAGGGGTGTGGGGGATGTGTGGGGGCTCGGCCGGAGGAGGTCGGGGTGGAAGGGGTGCTGGGGATGTGCATCCCGGGAGGATTGGCCATGGAGCTGGTGGGGCCGGGGGCTGGGTGAGGGGGCCGGGATGGCGGGCAGGGCTGGGAGGGGGCTCGGCTGCCGGCGCTGCACGGCCGGGGCTGCCCGGCCCGGGGGCGGGCTCAGCTCCCACCCGTGTGCCCCCCGCGCTGCCAGCCCCGCGGGGCGCGGGCGGTGCCGCTCCACTTCTCCCGGAGTTTTCTGCTCCAGTAAACCCCGACCCCGGCTGTGCCCCCCGGGCCAGCCCGCCCCGCACCGCCCCGCCTCCCATCAGGGAGGGGGCACCCCCAAACCCCCTCCCCCGACAGAGACACGAGCCCCGCAGTGTGCAAAATATTTATTTATACTCCAAAAAGGTCTGGGGGGGGTTAGAGCGGGGACCCCCCGCCCCCAGCCCGAGGCCAGCCCCGTCCCGGGAGGGCGGCTGGCGGGGAAGGGGGGTCGGGGGCGGGGAGGGGGGGCTGTGCCGCCGAGGGCACCGCCAAAACGAGTTGTGCCGGTCTCAGCTGGTTCCTGCCGGGCTCTCCCCATATCCTTCTTTTTGTTAAATTCCTCTTTCTTTTATTTATATTTATTTTGGCGTAGAAAAATAAATCGCTCCTCTTTTGGCACCAGTCCTTCGTGTGCAAGTGCAGGTCCCGGGGGGCTGCGAGGCGGCCCCCACGCTGGAAAGGGGGTGCGGGAGCCAGCGGGGGGGCCCCTGGCTCGGCTCCCTCCCGAGGGGCACGTCCCGAGCCCTGCGGGCACCCGGGGCAGGGCTGAAGCATCCTTTGGGGACGGGGCTAGGGCGGGGGCGGCAGGGGACACCGGGGGGCGCAGCCCGGGGCGGGGGCGGCGCGTTCGCTAGCACCGAGGGGACAGGCGGGCGGGGGGGGGCTGTCCCCATGTCACGCGCGGGGACCCCCCCAGCCCCTCCGCCGGGCTCGGAAATCAAAATCAGCCGCAGGGGC